ATAGACGAAAAAGTCATCCATGAAAATCTCCAAAACTTCTTCCAACATGTATGAGAATATGACCAATATACACCTTTAAAAGGTAGTTGGACCGTTGTAAATCCCAAAGGGCGTCCTTTTAAAGACTTAGGTACCATATGAGCATCTGAAGGTTGCTTCCTCTTGATATTCTGGTGCTATAGCAATCAGGTTGTACCCTTAGTATCCATCGAGGAAGCAATAAAAAGATTTATTCACCAACCAGTCTAGTATTTGATAGATAAATGGGAGAGGAAATAGTTCTTCTTGGTTGCATTGTTGAAATTTTGGTTGTCCATGTAGTTCTTGTAGGTAAGATTTCGTTTTCCTCATTTCTCACCACGATCACGCTTATTTTCTTGGGCACACATTGCACCGAGCTGACCCATGATGTTAGATATTGGGTAAATAACTCCAGCATCAAGATATTTAATGATCTCCTTCATTACCACCTTCTTTATGACTGGATTGAGCCTTCTGTGGGGTTCAATAGAATTGTTGTGGCATTCATCAACTAAAATTTTATGCATGCAAATAATAGAGCTTATACCCTTCAAGTCAACCATAGTCCAACCTAAAGCTTTCTTATGTTGAGATAATATATTCATCAAGCTACGTTCTTGTTCAGACTTAAGACTAGAAGAGATTATCATAGGAAAACTCTCAATACTACCAAATAAGCATATTTAAGGTGAGATGGAAAAGGTTTTAACCCTCAAGTAGGTTCATGCTCAATTAAGGGTTTTGGAGGAATAAATTCATCGAAATCTAAGGGTTCGAATTGCGTACCTTGTCTATCTATGATTAAACTAGATTGATGCACCTATATTGTGAATTCCTTGAGCTCCTCGATACCATCTTCATTAAACTTCACATAGTCTTTAAGCTACAAGAAATTGCTAAACATAATTCTACAACTTCATCTCCCACCATAGAGTCCATGTCTAGAACACATTGACACTTCTTGAAATCATCCACATATTTGAGAGTGTTGAATACATTGATGGTAACCTTTTGATCAGCCACTTACATTGTAACACCCTTCTCGCAGTCGATAAAATTCGATAGGTGGTTAGAAATGGTCGCCTCAAAATGATGGGTGTATTATCATCAATTTCACAATCAAGGATTAGAAGAACATATAGGAAAACAAATTTATCCACCTTTACCATGACATTCTCGATTCTCCCTTTAGGTTGAACGTGAGATCAATTTGCCAAATGAAAGATAATAGTGGTTGGTCTCGCATTTCCCATGCTAAGCTTTAGATAGAAACACTGACTTGGGTATTAAATTCACACTCGATCCAATATCACATAAGGCTCTCCCCACGTAATTATCGCCTATAGAAAAAGGAATGATAAAGCTTCTAGGATCTTTTATCTTCACTGGAAGGTTGCTCAGTACAGAAAAACACTATTTTGTTATAGCAATAGTCCCATACTTTTCAACCTTTATTTTCTTGGTGACAATTTCCTTTAAAAACTTAGTGTATGTAGGAATTTAATCAATGGCCTCCAAAAATGGGACATTGATGTACAATTGGTTCAGAATATCCACGAATTTCTTGAATTGAACGTCTTGGTTTTGCTTTTTCAATTCTGAGGGAAAGGTGGTAGAGGTATGATTTATTCTTCTGCTGGCGGGGGTCTTTATTTTGTTGTGACATTATGATGTCTGTCTTTATTGGGTTCACTCGTTGAACCATCAGACTTGTTCTGTATAAGAGGTGAACCCTCACACTCTTTAGACTCTTCTTGCACAGTTTATGGGTCGAGATCATCAAGTGTTCCGCCTTAACTTGTTTTCTCTGTCAAGTTAGGAGTCAATCCTTAGAGTGAATGCAATATAATGCTCTTTGCATTGATCCTTAGTGACTTTAGTATCACTAGGTAAACTGCCTTGTGGGTGTACATGTATTGATTAACCAATTTAACCCATTTGGGTTTCCAAAGCTCTCAAGGATGAACTATGACTTTGCAACAATGCCTCTTGACTTTGTAATAATACTTATTGGTTCTTAATAGATGTCGAATGATCTTGAAATAGAGCCTTCAAGGTCACCATAAAGTCTTGAAGAGTGGCTTCTAAAGTGTTGGTGTTCGATGAAGATGTTGACCCCTTGTTGGCAATTTACCACGACATATTTTGCTGAAAACCTGGGGGTTCAGTTAGATTTTGTTGTCAATTTGAGATGCTTATTTTGTTAGCTACTTGATTCCCCCATGAAAAACTTGGATGCTAACACCATCTTGGGTTATAAGTTTTTGAGTAGGGGTTGTGGTTCTTGTTGTTCATATTAAAGTTTCCCACGTAATTGGTAGACTCATGGTTGTCAGGACACTCACTCACATGGTGGCTGCCATTGTAAAGAACACAAGAAGAGCTTGCAACCTTGACTTCCTCCACTTCAGTAGGACATTAGAGATTATTCAACATATTGGTAGTTGTCGATAATTGAGCTAAGACAGAATCTTTAGCGTCTAACTCAAATGCTCTTTGAGAATTATTCTCATTCTTAGCCTCGAAGAAGGAAATTGATAGTCATTGTTTTCTATCCTATCAAGGATATTAAATGCTTCTTTAGGTGACTTGTCCAGCAAAGTACCATTTGTTGAAGCATCTAGCATTATACTCGTTGGACCATTCACACCATCGTAGAACATAATAAGTTGCATACAAGAATGAAATCCATGGTTTATGCACTTGCGAAGCTATCCCTTGTTCTATCCCAACACTCATACATAGACTCTCATGAGCTTGATAAAAGGAATAAATATCATTTGTCAGTTGGGTATTTATATTGGGTGGATTATACCACAACAAAAAGCTTTTACATAATTTTGTCCATGATTTTATCGAACTAGAGGGTACTCCACTAAGCCACGCTGTTGCTTGATCTCGCAAAGAATATGGAAATAAATTGAGCTTCAACACATCCTCGTGCACTCCTTGCTGTTGAAATGAATAAAAAACCTACAGAAAGGCTCGAAGATGTTGCCTTACATCTTCATGAGGCTCACCACCAAACTGTCCAATCAAGTTCAACATGGCTGAATCTCGGGATCTATAATACCAGGGCTGAGATCATCTAAAATGGGAGCTAAGTGACTTTTAATAGCATGTGGATGAGCTACAATTCCTTCATTATGAATTGTTGTAATATCCTTCACTTGGTTTTGAACACCGTACATGGCTCTTTGAGCTATCTAAACACGTCTTCTTTGATGAAAAATGTGTTCGATTTTAGGTACCAAAGGTAATAAAGGTTTCTCAAATCCTCTACGGGTCATGCAACAACATAACACCTAAAAAAGACAAAAAAAAGTAAATCTATATAAAAAGAAGAAATAAAATAGTGCCAAAACTAAACTTAAAATCATCGTTTGCTAATCCCCGACAATGGCGTCAAAAACTTGTTGCGTGTGTGAGTGTACTATATTTGATATGCAAACTATGCAACGAACAAGTAATACAATGATGAGTGAGTATTGTCTCCATAGGTATTGAAGGGAAATCGAGTAAAGTTTATGCTCTTAAAGTATAAATAATAAAGTGTAGAATAGTATGAACAATTGGATAAGAATATTGTGGCAAAGTATTGAAGTGGGTGAAATGTTGTGAAAAAGAGTAAAGTAAAGAATGCTATAGCAAAGTTAAGTTGAGCACTAGGGTATGAGAAAATATAACTTGATAACCTCTCACAAACAAGGTACAAGAAGGATAAACAATTGGGTTTAGTAAGGAATCTTATGCCTTGTCTTCTAGAATGGTTCACATCTTCCATGAGTATACTGTTCGACAGAGTTTGCAAAAGTGTTTATAGGCTATCTCTAGTAAGAAACCTGATAGTAAAAATGCTACAACAATACCTTTCAACGTAAACATCAGCAATATTCTATCGAATAAGCCCTACTCATTTTAGTCGTTGAAACTTTATCCTAATTCTAAGGTGAGTAGGGTTTTTCTTTCCAACTCAACCTCATTTCTTACGACGATCTAAGGCTAAATCTCTCGATATTAATGATCAAACATAGATATCGACTTTCTTAAAAGCTCTTACAAATCTAAACAGTTAAACAATGAACAAAGCAAGTATGTAACACGGAAAATAATAAACCATTCATTCAAACAAAAACATATTTATTCATAACAAACATGTGCCAAATAAGTTAGTTCATGGCAGGACTAGAATCAAACACCTTCAATATTTGTTTCATTACAAACCCACAACCAAATAAGAATGAAAATCAATTAAAGGAGAAGAGAAGCTCCCAAGTGTGAGCTATCATGAAATGCCTTAACAAACTAGCTTCTCTCAAAGGCCTAGCTTGTTATCCCCTAGGAGCTTGGCTATGTAGGACACCACGAAAAGAGGAAGAAAAGGAAGAAAAATGGAGTCTTTGTTGCAACCGCCTCTTGCTCACTTTCTGATCTCATACTTTCCAAAAAGCTATCCTAAAACGAGGTGTCCTTATCTATTTATGCTAAGGGCTCCTAGGATTTTATGCCCAAATTCTTTTTGTACCCTAAGGGATCATTCCCTTCATGTGATGGACAATTGGCAGCATCAAATAAATATCTTCGTCTTTTTATCTTTTTCTAAGTCTAGGAATGTTGTCACGTTAAATGACAAGTGTCACGTTTATATATATATATATATATTTAAAAATATTATTTAAAAATATGTTTTTAAAAATATGAACATGACACGTGTCACTTAACGATATTTTTAACAGTAGACACCTAAAAGTATAATGGAAAAATTAAAAATTCTTTAAATACCAAAAATCAATTTTAAGTATAATTTAATTACTTATTTTTATATTAGGCCGTTTAGAAAATGTAAACAAAGAAAAATTGGGATGTTGATTCTCAAAAGTCAAATTGCAAAAGATTAATAATACGCTTATGTATATTCTTAATTTTCATACATGACATCATCATCACCACCAAAATGAAATGAATTCAAGACCCTTTCTTTTAACACCGGAGCACCGGTGGTGACATCATCATGCACCTCATGGCCAGTGATGCACAGGCGGCGGCAGGGGCGGCGGTGAGCACCCAGAAACACTACAATCAACTGGATGTGCATAGAAAGACTTGCAGTCCATTGGTGAGTTCTGCAATGGCCTATAAGGGATACAATTCTTCCTATCATCTTTGGCTCGCAACTCCAGGCATTTGGAAGGTTCGGAAATGAAGAAATTGTTGGAGAAGGTGAAGTTCTTAAGATTTGGCAACGAACAAATACTTTGAGGAATATAACCAGATAGTTTATTATTAGCCACATTAAGCAGCTCCAAGCTCTTCATTTCCCCGATAGCATCCGGCAATGGCCCAACAAGCTTGTTGGACCTTACATCAAACACCGTCAGTCCCTTTAAAGCCCCAATTTCCGGTCTCAAACACCCTGTAAATTCATTGTTCATCAAAACAATTTCCCTTAGAGTTCCTGCCATTTTCACCAAACTTGACGACGGAAAGCAACCGCTGAGACCGTTGTTCGCCATCACGATAACCGACGCAGGCGAGTTTCCAAAATTATCCGGTATCAATGACTGGAACTTGTTGTCGTTAAAGAACAAAGCATCGAGTTTCAGATCGAACAACTGTGATGGGATTCTCCCACTGAATTCGTTGAATCTGATGTCGAGGAATTTGAGTGACGTTAAATATAGAACAACGTGAGGGAACTCTCCACTAAACCTGTTATTACTAACATCGAGCTCATAAAGAAGGTTGAGTTTCCTAAAGCTTTGGGGTAGGGTGCCGTAGAAGCGGTTGGAGTTTATGTGGAAAAGAGCAAGGTCAGTGAGGAGGCCAAGCTCATCGGGTAAAGAGCCGGCTATGTTGGCGTGGTTTAAGTCTATTCCAGCCACCACGGTAGCGTAAGCATCGTCCGTTGCCTGTGCACAGAACACTCCCGTGTAGTTGCAGACGTTCGGACCGTACCAATTGGAAGCGAATCCATTGGGGTCGGAGATCATGGCATGTTTCCAAGCTTTCAAGGCTATGTAGGCGTTGAGGAGTCGAGATTTTGGGATCAATGGCGGATTAATGCCGGTGTCGACAAGTGCGTAAGAGGGTGTAGAGGAGAGAAATATGACAGTGAGGATCACTTCAAGGAATGATGATAGATATGTTGTTTTCTCCATTGTTGGGAAAGGGTTTGCCATGAATGTGTTGGTATTTTTGCTGAGAAACCATATTAAGAATTATATATAAGCATTATCCACTAGGGCTGATCGTTCAATGGAGTGAATTCCAGTCACAAAATGTTAAGTTATTCGAGGTGACAGTATTATTTTATATCACAAAATTTATCTGAAATTTCTTTAGTCAAATTGTTTGAGTTTCATTAACTTAATAGTAAATTTTTATAATATCATGATACTATTTAATTTTATTTTAAACAATTTTCTATAATCATATACAATATATATATATATATCTTTTCATATGTGATATACATATATCATACACAATTATGAGTTTCGACTTAAATTTGAGAATCAATCTACTAATTACTAAAAATTTTGAGTTATTCGAGTTTTGTTTTATAACTCAACTCAAATTTTAAAATAATTTAATCGAGTTTGTAAAACTATGAGTCTATTTAATTTGAGTTATATATTTAAAATCAAGTCAACTTTTTTAAATTAAATCTTATTGACAACTCTTGGAGAAGGTTGCATGTTGTTGTCATTGAAGATTTTGCTATCAACATTAAAAAAATTTCAGTTAGAAGGATGAAAAGCTTGACTATTTCTCGCCTTTTATTATTTATCAGATATTTGTTTGGAAAACTGGGGATATATTTAGTGTAGTACAGAATTTTAATTATTATTTTACTTATATTAAAAACCAACCACCGCCAATATATTCCTCTTCTTCTCATTGACTTAACCTGCTTTTACATCCTGTTTGTGCCAATTTTCTGTCGTATAGTAAATTTTGTTGTTGCTGCGTAGAATTAAGTCTTCATTTATTTAAAATATTTTTAAAATATTATATTAAAAATATGTCTAATATTTAATTAAATAATTATTTTTATTATTATCAGTTTTCTAAAATATTTCGGTCTTAAATTTCATTTTAAAGTTAAAGAACTTTTAAGGTTTCACTAATCAATCACTTTGACTTGTATTTTTTATCATTTTAATTCTCAAATTTTTTTAAGACAAAAATTTCTTAGTTTAGAATGCCAACGGTTTGTTTATCAACTGATTTCTATCTATTAAGAAATCATTTTATCATAAATTAAAATATCGAGAGTAAAATATTCTAAAAATAGAATAAATATAAATTAATTATTTAATCAAATGATAAATATATTATTTTGCATTATATATTATTTTAAAAAATATATGTATTAAAAGTATATTTAGATATAGGGATATGAAATATAATTATTTAAGATCTTTGTAAATATGACTTTCAAATATAAAAAATGAAGATGAATGGTTCAACCGACACTGAAAAATTATGTTTACCAAAACTACGGTTTTCACCTTCTGATGGACTAAGTGTAATTATTTATTATTTTTGAACAAAAGGTTTATATTTTAAGTCTAGAGTTATTATAGAATGCAGGTTGGAAATTTTAATTTGACAAAGTAAACAAACTCTAATTAAATTAGTGGAGTGAATTTATCAAGTGATTTCAATTGTTAGAGACATACACAAGATTATATTAGGAGGAGTGAATTTCTAAAATTTTAGAAATGGACGAATTTCTAAAATTTTATGGAGCGAAAATAGATCTTCAATAAAAAAACATAAAAGAAAACATAAAAAATATGGTAATTTTAAGTTTTTAGGGGATAACTGCCTGCTCCCGCCCCCTCGATCTAGCCCTGTCAACAATTAATGGGAGTGTTATTCTTCTTTGAGGTCCTAGGTTCTAGCAACCGTATTTACAGGATGCATGCAATAGTTAAGAAAATTATGAACAAATACTACTTTATAATTCTCTAAATTATTAAAAATAAATAAATCAATTTAATATGCAAAATAAGCATGCATGCGTATTTGATGAAATATATAATGATGGGCTAACGACTGCCCCAGAGTAAGCAAGGAGGTTAGTGGAGCTGCTAATTTCAACGGGAACAGTATGTGGACAGGAAATTAGAATCTGATTAATTAATGAAGTTGCATTTTTTTAATTATTAAATATTTGAAGTTTTTGAAATAAAATGCTGTCAGTTGTACATGCAATTAATATTTAATAACATATTGTCACAGTTGACAAAAGTAAATGTTTGGTTAAAACAATTGTTGATTGTTGATAATCAATTATATATTTCACAAGTTAACGATGCTTCGTTGGAGGTTCCACTTTTCTTGCTCTAGTGGTAAAACAAGAGGGGAAAAAAGTTAGATTGCCATAAAGTCCAATCTAAATTTTAGATCCGAATGGTGCAATCCATGATCCATGTTAAATTAAGCTATCTTATGAAAAACTTGACTGAAAAAAAATATTAATATCATCTATGATAAATGATTATGAGGAAGACATATTTATGTCCATTTGATTATATTTTGATCATTAGTTTTTTAATTATATTAATTGTAATAATGGCATGTGTTATTATCTAATTAAAAAAATAAGTGTAATAAAACGTTGTTGGGGAAGAATTAAATATGAGGCATGTAGAGAAAATAAGACGTGACCTAACCATTAAGACAAACTCCACTTTTAAGAGATGAATTATAACATAATATATATTTATATTTTAATTAATGTTAAGAAAAGAGAAAAAGAAATCAATGGGGGATTTTAACCTAGGGTATTTAAAGAATATTTTAAATTCTAGATAATATAAGATTAAAATTAAATTTTAAAAATAAATCTAATATATTTATATTTTAAATAAAATTTAATATTTTTTTCTCATCTATGAATATACATAATTATATTGAAAAAAAATTACATTAAAAAATTATTTAGCAAATCCAAACTCACAAGCAAAACTCAAAGCATAAGATAAATTTAAATTCGTATCTTAAATATTTGTTTTCAAAAGGTTCTTTGAGAATTATTTCTCATTCACTTATAATTGATTTCAATCATGTTAATATTATAAATTAAAGTATACATTTTCATAATAAAAAAATTAAATAGAATATTTCATTTAATTTTAATAAAAAATCCAGTATGACACGTTTTCATATACCTTTGTGTCACACTTTCTTTTATCTTTTGACATATTTTTCGGTCATTTGACAATTTTTTCATTTATCTTTTTTTCTAAGGATTGATTTGAAATCGTCACGACTGATCAAGATGGCGTGATACCCGTTTTGCTTTTGTGGAAAATTTTTCACATCGTTCGAGTCTGATTTACGATTTTGTGGTCTTTCAATAGCTTGATCCCCTTTCATAGTTCGTTTGCTGATGAAATCAGATCTATTTGTGTCTATCTTTGTTTGACTTTTTTTATTAGATTTTTAATCTTTCTCGTATGGTCCTTATGATCTTATTGTTTAAATGATTGTAGATTTATGATTCTGATTGTAAATCTTATAGAGATATGGTCGTTGGCTCCCACGACGGATCCCCCCTGAAGAACTTATAGCCCTTGACGATGATGACATTGATTTGATGGAAGACGATGTTTGGGTTGGAGTGACTGCCAAAATCCCATTTATTAACTTCTCCGAACGCATGCAACATCTTACCTTGAAGAGTATGGGCTTAACCCCAGTAGTGAAGATATTTGGTCGTAGGATTGGATATACAACCCTCCAGAACTGAATCTTATTCAATCTGAAAGCCCTTTAACCTCCTGAAGCTAATCGATATTGAAAACAATTATTACCTTGTCAAATTCTCGGTGAGGAGTGACTACCTAAAATTGCTCTTTAAAGGCCTTAGACAGTGTTTGGATGTTACATTACGGTTGAACCTTGGTCGGTATATTTTGATTCTTCATAAGCATGCCCTAGTAGAATTATGGCATGGGTTAGACTTCCAAGTGTCTCAGTTACTTGTTACAAGCGAAGCATGATCCAAGGTAATGGAGAGAGAGAATTGGTTTTGTGATCAAAATAAATTGCCAAACAGACAACGGTTATCACGGTTGATTCACACGCATGGCAGTCAACATAAACTTGAAGAAGCCCTTAGTTTCAAAGCTTACTATTAATGGACGCACACAAGTTGTGGAATATATCTTCCTATAGTTTGTTTTCATTGTGGAACCTATGACCACATGTGTGACTCTTGTCCTAAGAAGACCGATAATATGGATGACCTTGATACTATCCATGTTGAGATTCTTGCAATTGAAGTGCATCCAAAACTTGTTGTCCTATGGATGTTGGTAGAGAAGTGTAAACATAAACCTCCGTGTAGTCACTCATTTTCGTACGAGGCTTATTTAGTATATATAATAATATAGTATAATTTTTGAAAAACATATAATATAGATTTTAGAAAACGGTTTTTGAAAGCATATAATATAGAGTTTTTTAAAAAACCGGTTTTGAAAATATATATAATATGTTTTGAAAACATATTTTTTGAAAACGTATATAATATATAGTTTTTTAAAATGATTTTTGAAAACATATAATATATAGTTTTAAAAATGATTTTTTGGAAAACAGATAGTTTTGAAAACATATTTTTCGAAATATATACATATTATTGTTTTCTGTTTTTTATTTTATTTTATTTTATTTTATTTATTTATTTTTATTATTTTTCTTATTTTTCGGTCCAATCAGGCAAGGTCCATGTCCAAGCCCAAGGTAGTAATGAAGGGTTCGGTTAGCATCCAGGCCCAACCAAGCTTACATGCCTGACCCAACAGGAGAGCCCGTTTGAAGCCCAATCGAAACAAGCCTGACCCAGCAAACCCGGGGAATCTAGCAAAGGAAGAGAGGGCCAGCCCCAGGCCAAAACAATTAGGGTTTTATAAACCCTAAAATAACATAGGCACCGTACGAGGGAGACCAAGTGGCCAACGGTGGCGCGCGTGGAGGCCACGCAGCAGCAAGGCTGAAAATCAGGGAGCAAATTGAAGGAAATCTTCCCTGTTGCTCAGCAACTAATGGCGAAAAATCAGCTATAACCAAACGTGCAACAACGAACCAAAATCCACAAAAATCGGGAATGAACCATCACCGATTTAGTGGGGAAACAACCCCAACGAGGGGCTATAAATA